ACCTGGATACGAGCCCTCGCCTTGCGAAAAGTATATTGCCTGGCGCCACGACAATTACCGGTCCTGAGAGTGCACAGCATTTGGTGAGAACTCTCAGGTTACCTCCTCTGTGGATGGGAGAGGATGGGACGGACCTAACACGGCCAACACCCGGCCTTCGTCTGCATCCAGCGTCGTTTTTTTTTATCAGCACTGCCTCACTCATAGAAAAACTGGGGGTGAAGAAACGCGTCTTCACTCATCAGAAGCGTTGGGAGCAAGAGGTACGACAGACGCTAGTGCACACTACACTCCACCACACTACTCGGTAGTCAACTGTCCAGATCGACAGCCAGGGAAAAAATAGCCAGAAAACGGCATCTTATTCGATGATATGATGGCAGTCGATTGGGTGGAAGGGCAGGGTAGAGAGCCGTTAAAAGTGGCGGACCAAGCAGGACAGGACGCTTTCTCGTCGTGGGGACTTACCCACTGTGCGTGCTCCTTGTCCCTTTCCAACACTTCGTCTCCTCGTCTTTTTCGGAACGTTCGGTATGGCGCTTGATTGCTGAAAAGGGAATGAAATCGGCCAGTTTACTAACGCGTTACCTTCAATACGAGAGAGTTCAATGGTTCTCAAAACCAGGAACGGCTAGTCATTTTCTAATGTTCGCCTCAAGGCGAGGATGGCCCGTTGGAGTTGAAACTGCAATATAATCAATCATAAAGTTTACATCCAAGGTCCGAATATAAAGGCAACGATGCAAGCACAGCAATATGCACTCTTCTGACCCATCTGGTGACTCGACATAGGCAGGCACCAGAGCTTTCCCATTGCATGATGCAAGAGTAAATTGTTGTTGGGCATCTTTGGTCCTGGGGGGAATACTTAGAGATGATGCTGCATCTCTATCAACCTCACGCACATCCACACGCTCTCGCTCTATCCCTCTCCCAATGCTGCTTCATAACGCCCGATGCAAGGGCTAGAGGATGATATTCGAGAGAAGAGTATTAATTGTGAACTCCGTATCCCTAGTAGACGCCCGCCAAAATGGAACGTCAGCAGCCAGCATCTTTCTTGCCACAAGAAGAGGATGACATCGACCCAATGTCGTATTGAGAGAGCAACATCTGAGCTTGATCCAGACTGTGTCCCACATTTGGTGTACACGTATTACACGTATTCTGCTTGGTAGTATTTCACTTTATCATCCTCGGGAGAGGATTGGACTCGGGAATACTGTGGTACTCGGTCAAGTAGTCGCCGCGCCGGTTTCTTGGATGTCCTTGGATGTCCTGGGTAGTTTCCTGATCTTGATTTGCATTCCTGGCATTCCCAGTCTTGCTGTACATTTTATTTGTACCTGATCTTTCTTTCTCTCGCTCTCTCCCATCTGGATCTTCCCTATCCTCCATCTTCCTTCTCGCATCTCCGACACCTTTGTCCTCCGCAAACCCCCGCCCCGGAGACAAAAAGTCCATCCGAAAACTAGGGGCAATTCGGGCAGTTATCTCGGTCCTTTAGATACGATTTGTCCTTCCTCGAAGTCCGAGTCCGATCGTTTTTCCTTTATTCCGGCTTCTTTGAGACCGTTGTTCGATTTCTATACGTCCAGATTCGTTCGCCTGTTGGCTATTTTCGACGACAAGTGACTGACCGACCGACCGACCGGGTCGCCGACCGTGACACCAGGATCAAGTCTGAGATTCCGCGCGGCGCCACTGTCTCCCACGTTTTTTCTCCAAGCTTCTTGCTTCTCTTCTGCAAGTCCGCAACGTCATCATCGCGTGCGCTGTACTTCGAAGTACGTGCGTTTCTTTGGCTACGCGAAAGAGGCGTCTTCGGAAATCAACGATCGAAACCCCCTGTATCGAATTTCCGAGCTGCTTTTTACATCCATGACAGGCCAAGGAAGCCAAGGAACATAATCGGGGCAGGAGCAAGCTATCAGGTAGGGAACAGGCCAGGGCCTGAATTTTATTTTTATTTTTTTCTCTGTTTCCTTCCCGTCTTGTCTTGCATGCCCTCGATTGGCTCCAGCGCTAGTGTGCACATTGCTGTACGAAGTAGACCTTGTCGCTCGATCAATTGCAGAGTGGTTATTGATCGGTTCCACCATGGCCTTGAGGCTAATTGAGAATCTCGCGATGGAGCACGTATCAACTGCCGCGCAGAGCTTTCAGTTTGGTCTCTCCTCTCCAGCGAGCTATTGCCCATCGGCTGACTGCACAATCGTCAACATATTGCCCTCTCTTCTTTCTGCTGGATCCGAGTCCATTATTGAGATTGTGCCAACCTCTTATCTCCCCTTCCCTCCCGTACACATTTCATCTGTACTTCGTACAGAGACAGTCTACGAAGTACCCTTCTTCCCGCCTGTACCGTAGTCCTGCAAAGGACGTACAGGTACACACACTTTGCATCCAGCGCAGGCAGAGAGTCTCGGCACGCCTTGGCACTGGAAGCTATCACTCAAGCGCTGCTTCCCTCTGTCTCGACCGTCATTCATTGATCAGGATGAGGTACAAAGCTGTTTCCAAGTACCCCTGCAACCAGTCCCCACCAGCTGCTAAAGCAAAGCCCCACTAGCAAGTTCTTGCTCTTGGAGTCCTTCAACTTGCCCTGCGCGACACAGGTACACAAGATTCACTTTCAACAGTTTAACTACATCAAATTGCTTTTGATTTGATGCTCTCTTCACTCCTCACATATCAATTGAAAGTACAGAGTACATCAGGGAAGCTGCCTAACACTTGTTATATGTACACTACTTATACACTAGCAGGCAACTCGATACCTATATTGTGACTCCAATCTCTGGGTATTCCTTCACTATCAGTGTTTTTCCTTTTCCTGCAGGGTACCTGCACCCTCTCTTGTACCAGTACCTTTCTCTCCTTTCATCTCAACTCTTCATTTGACACTCTCCTCACACCCGCCCTTCCGCCCACTCTCCTCTATCCTCATACTCTAGGTTCCCTCTATGGCTTGTTCAATCTGTTGGTTGGCCTCTTGTCTCTCATCTCGGTTCGCTCTGCCATAGTGCATTGCAGAGTGCTTCCCCCTAATACTATTACTCAGTAGTGCACTACTTTTTCCCTGTGGCGCCACTACCCCTTGTTGCTCAGGCACAGCAGCGTGGAGCCTCTCCCTTTTTCCCCACGAGAACTCTGCATCCCAGAGAGCAGGAACAGGAATCCTGAATAGATCCTTTTTCTCTTGGTTCTTTGTCATTCCTTTTTTGTCTCTTTTTTTTCTTCTTCTGCATTGGAGAACCCTTCGAACAACGTTGCGACTAAGATTACCCCCTTCATCAGCGTGTTGACTAGATTTAGCAAGATAGGCTTTCGTTTCTGTTGCCGCGTCCACGTTGGTTGGTTTCGCGACCCGTACCACTACCAACCAACAAAAAAAAAATCCCGTCCTCGTCAAATTCGCGTCCCGTTTTAGCCACGACGTCCGAGCCTTGATCTTCCTAAACCAAAGTTGCGCGACCCTTGTTTGGCGTTGTTCGTTTAGAAGAGAAAATCGTCTCTCTCTCGGCTTGACCTTTTAGTTCGGCCGCATTGCCTGGTCTGGTCCACGGCTTGGACCTGACTGACGCCACTCAATACCCGAATACCTAATCCGCCGTAGTCCAGCTTCTTCCCACACCCCCGTCATCCCGCGCATCGAAAATCGATTCCCGACGCTGGGCGCTGCATACACTACTTTCGTACCTACTGGCGTCCACTCCTCGACGACGCTCGCTTCATACCGCCTGTTCCCTGAGTGGGTTTTGGGGCTAGCCTCTCTTTTTTTTTGAAGCTGTGGTGCGTGTGCGCTGAGAGCTGGGTACATATTCTGGCTGCGCTAAGCCAAGCACGCAAATTCGCGCTCCAAGATCCTTGAATCTTGGGCTGTCCCATACGATTTTGACGGTGAGGACCCTTCTCCCTTATCTCCTTTCCTCCGTGAAGTACGGGCCTGGGCCTCCCATGGGAGTGGAACAGTCGGAAAATAGAGCACTCGGATTGAGTTGCGAAGTAAAGACGAAGAGAAAACCGAGAAAGCGGAAAAACCCAAGAGAGGGACAAGAGAGTAACGCAAATAGAGGGGTACAAAATTCTAATCTTGAGCTTCAAAGGTACTCTATCGTTATCGGATCAAATTCCAGGGACACCAAACTCTACTCCGGAGTTGCTCACCTAGCTTCGGCGAGACCCCCAGTGCTGAGTGTTCCAGCTGGACTCCCCCCAAGTTACGTGTTCCATCGTCTGGTACAAGGCTACAAAGCATTATTTTCGGCTGCCGCGAGGGACATCGCAGCAAAGATCCTCGCTACTTTCGTACTTCCTTGCGCTATCACTGCGCTGCGCCGGTGCTGCGCTTCGCTCGACTGCACTCGAAACCTTGATCCGACTAAACCTCATTTGGGTGTGCAATCATGTCACCCCCCCGACTAAAGATCTTGTCAGGTACGTTAATGGCCCATTTCTGCGCTATCCTCTGAGATTTGCTTCCTGTCCTGTGCCCTCGCCTATCGGTTCCTTGGTGATACCGCCACGGCTCCCCCGGAAGGCCTGAAATTTCAAAGTCTTCCTGATAATTGGGCCCGCCGACTCCCTCTGCTCCTTCCGCACTCCACTATTACCCACGCTACACGCCCCCCCCCCCTTCTTCCTTCTCCCTCTCTCTTTCCCCGTCGCCTTCTGCCTGTCCCTCATGCTTTCCCTCGCTCTTTTTGCGCACTCCCCACCACAGCTTCACTCCGTCATCAATGTCCATCCCCCATCTAATGTCCTAGCATCTGTACCGATTTCTTTTAAACCTCCACCCCTTCGTTTCGGGTATAGACTACTATTGCCAATATTGTCTTTTCCCTCTCCCCAATCCGCTTCCCATCTTCCGCTCGCTTTCAGTTCTTTCCTTTTAATTTTTTGATTTCTCCATTGTCCCGTCAATCGTTTACACAATATCGCACCTAACCCCGGCGCAGCTGGCGACAACATATGCGTCAACCTAGATCGGGCTCATCATGGCCGACGCAATGGACGACAATGAGCTAATGAGGGTTTGTTCAGTGGGAGGAAATCCAGTCTCGGCCTTCCTTTCCTGGCGTCTCCAGGCCACCAACGCTTGCGATGTCACTCTCGTGTGGAAAGCTGGATTCGAGCATGTCTCGCAATATGGCATTTCAATGAAGTAATACCATTCCCCTCCCCTTCTTCCCGCGGTTGTGGAAATCGTAAACTCCCTTTTTTTTTCCTTAGGAATATCTTCTAACCTAGACCCGTTTGACAGGTCCGCCATTTTTGGCAACGAGCGGTTTAAGCCCCGGCATGGTATGGTTCTCAACTTCTTTGGCAGCGCTGCGAGCCTTCGTCCCTCCCATCTCGACATCTCGAACTAACACGGCCTTTGCTTGCAGTTGTCCGTGTCCCCGAAGAAGCCGCGAGCACGAGTCAAGGCGCTTTCGACTATGTGATCCTTTGTATAAAAGCACTTCCCGACGTATACGACATTGCCGGCGTCATCGAATCCGTCGTTACACCTCAACACACCTGTATCCTAGTTAATACCACTCACGCCCTTGGAGTCGAGGCCACTCTCGAGGAACGTTTCCCCACTAATGTAGTATTATCTCTGGTCTCTGGCGCCGAGGTTGCGCAGCTTGGACAGAGCGAGTTCGAGCACCGAGGCTCCACCGAGATCTGGGTCGGCCCTGCGAACAAGAACGATCAGATTCCTCAATCGATACAAGAAGATATGGCACAGGCGTTAGCTATGACCTTAAGCACTGGCCAGGTCGACTGTAAAGTATCGCACAATATCCGCCAACAGCAATACGAAAGGCTCATTGGGTATGTTCATGGTCCACAAAACCAACGATTTTTTTTTTTTTGGAATGGCTGCGAAGCTTCCTTACTGACCACAACCTTGTTTCCGTTCTCAGTCCTATTACCTTCCATCCCATCAGCGTCATCTTCGAGACACCAAACCATGCCGCTTTGCTCGAAAAAGTCGGTGTTAAGGATTTAGTATCAGACGTTATGGACGAGTTGATTCTCTTAGCACAAGCCCAGAAATGCAACCTACCGGCTGATTTCAAGCAGAAGGCGATAGATGAGATGACCAAGGGCCCAAACCACGACAGTATCATGTGGCAGGACTATGTTGCGAGACGTCCTATGGAAGTCGAGACTTTCCTTGGTGCCCCCGTGAAGCTGGCCAAGGAATTGGGCATTTCGGTACCCCGCATCGAGACCCTTTATACCATCCTACATAACCTCAACATCGTTAACCGCCAACGCCCTCAGGGCCCTGCGGCGGGCCCTGTCTCCCCGAACCCCATTACCTCGCCGGTCCCCCGAGCCCCTTCTCAAAACGGATTCCGCCCCATGATGAACGGCATGCCCAACGGCAACGGACCTCGAGGTCGTCCGAGAAACCCCAATATGGGGCCGCCCATGCGAAGAGGCCCTCCGATATCTATGCCCGGTGGTCCCAACGGTTTCCGACCGTCCATGAATGGTGCTCCCAATGGCTACGGCGGCCCGCCCTCTCGAGCTGCTTCGCGAAGGGGTTCGATGGAAGGAGCGGACCTGGAGGACTTTTCCCACCTAGTGCTTTATGATGACATTCCAGAGGGAGGTCAGTCTGGATATGGCGGTGACCACTCAGATCTAGCTCTTCGTGAGAGGGAATTACAGCTGCGTCAGCGTGAGCTAGCACTTCGTGAGCAGGAGATGCGGATGAGGCGAGGCCCTCCTCCCCGCCGAGGCCCCGGACCCATGCGGAGCAGCGCGCAGATGTTCGACGACGACGATGACGACGACGACTACGTCGACCCCATGGCGGTGCCTGTTCAGCCCCTCGTCGATCCGGACAATTTCGACATGATGAGCGTCACCTCACGAAAGAACCGAAAAACGGCACCCACGGCCCGCGACATTCGGAAGAACCCAGAGATGGACAACGGACCTCCCTCTCGAGGCAGCAGGTTCCGACCAAGCTTCGGACGCAATCGGTCGAGCCAGATGTCCAGCATTCCCAGCGTGAATGATAACATCCTCGATGACCCTCTGATGGGATGCTCATCGAATCGATACGGCACCGTTGATCGCGGCGCGATACAGGCCGAGTCTCGCGCCAACTCTCTGACTGCGTCGAGGTTAGACGAGCTTCAGTACGGCCAAGGTCCGATGGGAGGTCCTATGGGTGGCCCCATGGGGATGAACGGTGGCTACCCCAGACGGACAAGCCAGTCCCCTAGCCATCCCTATAGCCCATCTATCAGGGGAATGAACGGCCGGCCCTCACCTCCGAACGGATACGGCGGCCGGCGAGGGTCCCCCCCGGAAGGAGTCCAACAACCCGTCCCTATGTATCCTCCCGGACAAGGGAATTCGGTAGCTCCGCAGCAGGTTGAACAGCATGCAGGGGTGAGCTCCCTTTATCCACCGCAGTCGAAGAACACGCGAAGTCTGACAGGTAGTGCGAGCGCTAGCGCGGGCAGTGGTGATTCCCAGCAATCACTAAGCAGTAGTAGCCACAGCAGTTTGAGCCAACGACCTCCAATTGGCGTACGCTAGTTGCGTAAAGTGCTAAGGCGAGAGCCACCCAAATTGCCGACAGACACGGGCACCGACATCCAGGAGACAGATGAAGCCAACGAGCCGTAACTCCACGATCGAACCGACAGCCCTGCCCAGCCGAATTCGTCCCCCACGCAGCCGATCAATGAATATCGACTCAGAGTACTAACACTCGCACCAAAGTTCCCGCCCGGCCTCTTCATCCTCTTACCTGTGACCACTCGCGACTTTCTCTCTTCTCCCGGATAAGCTCATTTCTCTCCTCGACTCGATTATTCTTTCTTCAAACTCTATCAAATTTTGAAGCGACTCTCCCTTTTTCTCTTGGGGAAATTCAACAAAAGCGTTCGGTTCCAGCTCTCGGGCCATCAGTTTGATTAGGCTACGACAACATAAATACGCACACATGCCACAGCGAATTCGCGGACACAGCACGATTTTTTCTTCAAATTTCGCCATCTCAAGCTTACGAACAGTACATAAGCATATATCATATTTCTCGGAAGTTTCCTTTTCACGGGTTTGCCAAACAAAGACGGCACATCACAGAAGCACTATGGTCCCCGGTAATTGCTGCATGAGGGGTGTGAATCCCTCCCTCCTTTGGAAAAACTTTTCTTGCTCCCCTTTTTTATTTCATTTTCTCCTTTGTCTCAACCTTTGCCCCTTAGCATATAATGAGCCATCCGCAATGGCTGGTGGTTTTGGACTTGGGTCTTCTTCTTTGTCGTTTTTATATTCCAGTTGGGTTTGGTTATTATAAGCGGATTTCCTGGTTGTGTTATCGTGTTTTGCTCCCCACACAGCGGGAAGAATGGACTGGATCATGAGGGAGGGCAGGACGGGAAGTATTGGGAAGACGCTTGGTGGAAAAGAAGCAGCCCCGGGATTCTATATCTCTTTTTGGGTATTGTTGTCGACCAAGGGGAGGCATGGCCTTGAAATAGAGATGCCGACCAATTTTGGCCAGGTATTCAGCGCATCATCAGTTCCGAGTTCCGAGCCCAGTGCCGCCTCCGCTCGCTCCGCCCGCCTTCTTCTCGCGCTCATTGAGCCAGCGGTGGTGACACCCTGGGAGGAATGGTCATGAAGACGACTACTTTTTCCCTAAGAGAAAATGGGCATATCTGATGGAATTCCCCGGCTTCTTCTCTCTGTAGCCTTGTATCTCCTTTCCACGCCTGTGCTCCCTCTTGGGGGCTTTCTTTTGTATCTCTCTCGACATGACAAATTAGGGAGGCATGGGTTTATTTTACTATTAGACAGTTGGGATGGAACCCACGAAAGTGAGACGGAACACACTCGTCCGATTCTCCTCTGCTTTGTTGATTCAGTTTACCCTCACTCTGATGTGTGGGTTTTGAGGGGAAAGACAAAAGGAGAAATACCCGAAAGGGGGAAATCATTAACTTAGATGATTAATTGCTATTACAGGAAGAGATCCGTCTCTAATCGGCGGTTACCTCTTTCTTTTTGACTCTGCTTTGCGTTTCTGCAAGTAGTTTTGTTTGTTGTCAGTGATGATTGTGTCTATGGGTAGACGATTCTCTGTAGCATTCTTTTCTGATGTGGTCAGGAGGTTTTGCTCTTCGACTATTTGATACAATCCGATGAGGCTTTGGCATTGGGGTGTGAATGTCAAGGCAGTGAGTGCAAGCAGGGTTGATTGCGCCAGGGGAAAATGAGGCACCCAAGACGTCCTGGCGTCCAGTCGATTCGCAAACAGGAGAGAGACGGGAGATGAGATCTGACGAGATGAAGGCCCGCTTCGTAGCGGCTCCGAGTCCGAAAGTGCAAGTTGCAAGTTCCAGTGTGGTTCTAGATCTCATCCAAGGGTCCCTAATCAGATCAATGTCTGGTCGTAAGCATTATGGTGTAGTTCTAGAGTACTTCGTTCACTGAAATTTTGCTGTGATACGACTCTCTAGCGCACAGACGGGAGGCGTCGAATCCGAACATGCCAGATCCATGGCAAGCTGAAAAATGATCGATCTGGTTGTTGGGTCGGGGCCGGAGTGGAAGGCGGGGAGAGGGGTGTGTGTGAATGGCGCAGGGCACAGAGGAGGGGAGGGTGGTGTGTGCATCGTGGTGTCGCATCAGAGATTTAGAGCGTTTTTGGCGGTCTTTTCCCTCTGTCTTTTTCTTCTTTTTATTTTCTCCTTTTTGGGGGTTTCTTTTTCACTTTTTTTTTCCTCTCTTGTTTGATTTTGTCCCTTTTCTTCAGAGTCTTGATTGATGATAGGAGTCGATCATGTTCAAGTTGATTGATTAATTAATTCCTTAAACATTGAACATTTGAAGTGACTCTTGACGCGTGAGGTCGGATTTTTTGGCCTGAGCGGACGGCCTTTAGTAGTGTGTCCCTGGCTGGCGAATTGGTAATGCTGCACCGTCCTTGTACCTGTACCTATACTTCGTACCTTCTTTCCAAACTCAATGTGGGGTCGAATCAACAATCAACATCAGCATCAACATCAACAGTGACCATCAGCCTTGGCCTCGTGTCTTAGTCTGATCCCTCGCAGTTTTTAGGCCGGAGGCTTGCAGACAATATGATTTGATACGGACAACGGCATCAATCTCTTTCGATAACTTTACTCGCCGTCACGAAACTACAAGAGTGGAATCTGTGTACCAGAAACAGCGGTGTTCTGCGCAGTACATCTTCCGCAACCAGGGTCGATAGACTTTGAGTCGTTGCGGCTGAGAACAGACGCAAATTAGACCGGGTCCTCGACATCGCTAGACACAGGAGAGAAAACCGGAGACCGATAGAGAGAGAGAGATGGCGGCCCGAGGCATGGCGGGGTCGACGACCCAGAATTTGGGGAACAGGACGTCGATGATGACGTCTGCCAGTGCTATGAAGGCGAGGCAGCTGGTATGTCGATCTCCTTTTCTACGCGCTGCTAGCTCTTTGTTTCGCGTATGACTTTGCTTTCACAACACCTCGAGGCTCAATCGCCTTTCCCCCATCTTTTTTTCTCTCTCCCTTTTCGTTAAGGAGGTGTGGGATAGAGAAAGAACAACAATAGGATAAACCGGAATACCAGACGGCCGACAGTTAGCTAACAAATCGTGTGGAATAGACACACCTCAACTCACAGCTTGCCCAGCTATCGGCTAACCTGGCAGATACCGAGAATCTGTTGCGCATGACGAGTGTGCAGGCCGAGGCCATGAGGGGATTGGGTAGTTGGCATGCCGGGCTGTACGTTTCTTCCAAAAATCTCCCTTTTTTTTTCTCTCTCTCTCTTTTACCCTTTCTACTTCGGAACGGATCCTATCTTGCCACTAGATAATAGCGTCTAACTAACCGGAATATGTAGGTTCATGGCCGCGAGCAAGGTGCTTGGTGAAGAGAGCGTGAGGGAGCAGGCAGACGGGTCCAAGTGACGCATTTCTGCTCACAGGAGTGGGATGGATGTGAGGCGACAACGGGCTAGAAGATGCCCTTACTATGGAACGGGTCTTGATGATGTCACGACAGATTTGAGTAATGTGGAGTGTATGGTCACTTGCTTTGCTTTTACTTTGGGAGATGATACCCTTTACGGAAACGAAGCAGAATATGAAACGTATTGTGAGGGTGCTACCAGGACGGCGGGCTGAATATCTACGAAGGAGGGGTACAGAAACTCCCTGGAATCACAATACAGAGAGGACACGGGCTTGATCCAAGGATTTCCCTCGTGTTGAGATCGTGATATCTAGCTAGACGTAGACTCGGAGACAATCGGCTCTTGGTTGTGAATTGCCCGGATGCTTTATCATCAAAGCAACCCCAAAGCCCCCCTTGTTACCACTCCTTCTGAGGAAGGCCCGCCCACCGCCACCTGTTTTACGGGGTCTTGGCTGATAAGGGACGCCTCGCCTTTCAGGAGCTGTCTCGAGGTTAAACTGACTAGGTAAGTTTCGTGGGCGTTGTTGAGGTGCTATCCTGCCCAAGAGTCAATCTCCTTCTTCTTTGTGGGGGAAGTTCCCATGTTGAGACCAAATCCCACAACCTAGCTAACCGCCTCCCATTCCCGAAGGAGGCGCCTCTTCGCTGAAACTGCTGGTTTCGCGTAGTTTTTGAGAGTGACGGTGTGAGGACGTGTAGCGAGTGAATGCCCTGCGCCCTATGCGCTAGATGTAAGGCCAGCCGAGGCGGGGAATCCAGGTGAGCTTCGCGCCAAGCACTTCGGCCGTAGCATATCGCTCCTCAAACACCCTTCAATAGTGGTCAGATGCCCTTGGGCCCGTAAGGCCTCGGGGAGGTGAAAAGAGGCCCCGCGGCGGATGAAATGGGGAATTCGACGGATCCAGTTTCGCTCAGAACATGGCAATTTTCGCTTCGAATGCCGCAAGGCTTCCGTCTCAACGAGGGCGGCGAGCAACTCCGTCACGCTTCCAGAAACGAACCAGGGCTAGATCCCCTCGGTCCTTCATTGGCTCGCTAGATCCCTCGCCGATAGATGCGCAGAAAATCAGACCATCCTGCTCATCCCACAGGGGCTGTCACAAGCATGTGATTCTCAAGTTGCGAATGGACTGAACAGAGGAATTTTGTCGCAGCTTCATCGGGCGGGAATGTTCTTTACAGCCTCGCCATCTCTTTTTTCTTCGTTATTCGCCAGCCGATTCACCTCCCGGAATGGGCGTCGTTGCTGTCTGGGCGCCGAAACCGGAAACCTTTTCTCGTGCCCACAGGTCCCGCATTTCAAGACGAGGATATCAGCCCAAGGCTTCTTGCCGTTCTTGCTCTTGTTCTCGACGACAGAAGTGCAGGATTGTCCCTCGACAAGGGCGGAGTCGCAAAACTTGCACACAGTCCGCTTTATCGAAGGATCAATTCGGATCTGCGTCTTGAGAGACACGGCCCTCAAATCCGAGAGAAGGCGACGCGCCATAATGCCGTTCACGCTGTCCTTGGATTTCCCTTTGTCCGAACTCGAGCTCTGTTTTTTGTTCTGTTCCTGACCTTGAGCCCCGGATTCCCCCATGCCTTGGTTAGCCCCCTCCAAGGATGACGACTCGAGTTGGGCGAGGAATGCGGCAGCCTGATAGAGGTAGGACATTCTCGAATAGATTGGCTTATTCTGGATGCGGACTGCTGGCTTATGCTTAGCCATTTTGAATCTCTGATGACTTTCCCCTATTCCGATTGAAGAATTTAAAGTCCAGAATGAGATGGACGAGAAAAGAACAATGAAGACAAAAGACTGAGAGGCTGTGAATCAATGACAGTGGTCGAATATCCGAGTCTCTGATTGGCCTCTTCACCTGAGTAAAACGAGGCGACATTTTTAAGCTCCTTCCTCTTCAATCCAGCCTTATCATCACGTGCTTTCCACACAAACAAACATTATTGGTCCGCTTAAACTTCGCGTCGTCCAGTCCATCAGTGTTTTGCTCCCAGAAACCAGAGCAATTGGCTTGTTGGTCTCTGCTGCTCCAGAACTTCGCCCCCTTCCCGTGCCTGCCTGTTGCTGAATCCTCCACTTCAGGTTCACAGCCTTAACCTCGATCAAAATCTTCTTCTTCCTCCCTTCTCCATCTCCCAACCTTATCTTCATTGAGTACATCCCTCAAATATCACAGACACTCTGCGCTCTACCCTCACAGGTTTTGAGCTACATTTACCTTCAATTCTCTCTCCAATTCTCGTCTCCATTTCTCCCCAACTTGGCGTCATCGCACACTTGCGCGGCCCCAAGACTCTCATCTCCTACCATAACAAACACCCTCTAATCCATCAGCATCCAAGGCGATAAACACCACAGCCATGTCTAACGAGGAAGATCTCATCGACTACTCCGACGAGGAGATCCAGACCACGGAGCCGACCACCGCGGCCGCCAACGGAAAGAAGGGCGACCTCGCCGCCGGCGGTAGTGTCGATAAGAAGGGCAGTTACGTCGGTATCCACTCGACCGGCTTCCGCGATTTCCTTTTGAAGCCAGAGCTTCTCCGCGCTATTGGCGACTGCGGATTCGAGCATCCCTCGGAGGGTTAGTCCTGCTAAATATCATGCCCTAAGTTTTTTTACCACCCCAAAAGCCCCCAAAGATCCTCCAGAAGCAAGAGTCCGTCCATCTCGCAAGCGAATCCGTTGTCTCTCTCTCTCTCCATCTCGACCATCACGCCTGGAATTCGTCTTTCTATCTTCTCTTCCCTTCACATACCTCGCTCCTGAGATGGAATCACGAGAGCGGCCTCGCGCCGCCCGCGGCTCAATCTCCTGGCACCACGGAAATGTACTGGGGCTATCATGGAGAAATACCATGGAAAAATCAGAAAGAACAAGAATGGAGGAGGGTCTCTTGTTTGTTTGGATGCGAAGTAAGGCCTATCACCATGGCTCCTTTTGGACATGGTTACAGCTGAACTCTCACGTCGCCACGGACTAGGCTGAGATGAGAGTCCCAACCCCGTGCCGCTCAAAAGGTGCTGAACATCAAGGAGCGCAAGCCCTGAATTCGCACCATTGCCTCGACATCGACGACCCTAGATCATGGACTCTGAGGCGCGATCTCTTGCCTTTTTGGCCTAAGGCGCCTGTACACTCGCCAGCCTTGCCGTTGTCGATGTCTGCGCGCCCGAGACGACCTCGGACGGATCTCTCCATCATCTATTCCCCCCTGCCCAAGTTTTGCTCTGGCTTTGCATAATCACCTCCGCCCTCTTTTGCTTGCATGCCTCATTCTACAGCTCGACCGGATAATGCTTCGCGATGATGGACGGACCTGGAAGACACACCACAGCCTGCAATCTCTTTGTCTATTCAAACTCATGGAAATGAATCTAACGTCCGATCGAACGTACAGTCCAGCAAACCTGTATTCCCCAGGCCCTCCTCGGAGGTGATATTATCTGCCAGGCCAAGTCCGGTCTCGGAAAGACTGCAGTCTTTGTCCTGACCACCCTTCAGCAAGTCGAGCCCGTTAATGGCGAGGTCTCCGTCCTCGTTATGTGCCACACTCGCGAGCTGGCTTTCCAGATTCGCAACGAGTACAACCGTTTCAGCAAGTATATGCCCGACATCAAGACTGGCGTGTTCTACGGTGGTACTCCAATCCAGAAGGATGTCGAGGTCATTAAGAACAAGGACACTTGCCCTCACATCATCGTCGGAACCCCTGGCCGTCTCAACGCCTTGGTTCGCGACAAGATTCTCCGCCTCGGAAGTGTTCGTATCTTTGTCCTTGATGAATGCGACAAGATGCTTGACCAAGTTGGTATGTTTTACTCACCCCTCACCTCCCCTCTCCAAGACCCCGTCAGATCCCCGTTCTAACATGGCACTCTTTTTCAGATATGCGACGTGATGTTCAGGACATCTTCCGTGCTACTCCCCAGCAGAAGCAGGTCATGATGTTCTCGGCCACCCTTTCTGAGGAAGTCAAGCCCATCTGCCGCAAGTTCATGCAGAACCCTACGGAGCATTACGTCGACGAGGACACCAAGCTCACCCTCCACGGTCTTCAGCAATACTATATCTCGCTCGAGGAACGTGAGAAGAACCGCAAGCTTAATGAGTTGTTGGATGAGCTCCAGTTCAACCAGGTCATCATCTTTGTCAAGAGCACGCTTCGTGCTACCGAGCTCGATAAGCTTTTGCGCGAATGCAATTTCCCCTCCATCTCGGTCCACTCTGGCGTCAGCCAAGAGGAACGGTAAGTTTCAACTCTTTCTCTAACATTTTCAGGGGAATTTGGACAATCAGTTTCTAACAAACTTATCCAGTATCCGCCGATACAAGGAGTTCAAAGAATTCAACAAGCGAATCTGCGTGGCCACTGACGTATTCGGACGAGGTATCGACATTGAACGCATCAACTTGGCTATCAACTACGATCTCCCAGCTGATGCCGATTCGTACCTCCACCGTGTCGGTCGTGCCGGTCGTTTCGGTACCAAGGGTCTTGCCATCTCTTTCGTTAGCAGCGACCAGGACAAGGAGGTACTCAAGTCGATCGAGAAGCGCTTCGAAGTTGCTCTTCCGTAAGTAGCCGCCACATCCTGTCTTAGATCCAATGAGATTTTTCGGTACTAACAATCCCTCCAGTGAGTTCCCCAAGGAAGGCATCGATGCCAGCACTTACATGGCGTCCTAAGCCGGTACAAGCTCGATCTATACGGGTTATGGATTTGTCCTGCTTCGGGCTTGCCCCGTCTTGAGTTCTTTATCAGACACGCTTAGAGGGACATTGGTTCTGTTTTCGAGGCAGCTACGATTGTATCGTTTGCCTTAGCGGAGGGGACCGTGCGGTGCCCTAAGGAACCAAGCTTCACCTCGGAGAGCGTGAGGACAGCCACGGTATGGCAGTGGTTTAACGGAGTGCGGTGTTTGTATTTTATTTACGATAGTTTGGACCCCAATGGGAAAAAAGGGTGGAGTCTGCGGTAGAAAAACAGACTCAACAAGAAACATAACCCGGTTTATTCACATCTTGGCATCCAAGGTTCGTCATTTTGTTATCGTGTGTGATTGTATGTAGCCGGCCCACCGGAAAACGAATCTGCCCGTCCGACGGTATCCCGCATGGAGAGTCCGATCATCCCGCATCTTCTGTTGATAACCATGCTTGGTGACACATTATCTCTATCAGCCCATGCGTGGCGGCGAGTGAGTGATCTTGACCTGTGTGTCCGAATATGTTGCATCTTCTCCTCAAAAGCACTGTCTGTCCAATATGAGTCCCCGTGGACCTGAGTAGAGAATTCGGCAGAAGTAGCGGCCGAGCCTGTTTAGAACGTCATGCCCACAATCCTCTCTTCGTGGAAGCGCTTACGAACAGGTTTAAAGAGTAGGCGTCTCTGCGGGCTTGGTCGAGTGACCGGGCAGGTAGCAAGGGCCCGACAAAATGCCCCCAAGAGTTCTATCCCAGCCCGTGGTGCTACTGATCGAGTTGGGGGACAACGAACTATATAAAGCATCCGGGCACATTTCCCCCTATCTCCTGGAGAAGCGGAACCGCTCTTATTAGAGTGAACCCCCTTGGGAGATACAATGCGGTGGCATTCTCAGCGACTCTTGCATGCTAGTCTCTCTGTGTGTCCCCTGAGCGATGTCAACCGTGGGGTTGGCGTCTGTTAGAAACCTTTGACCAGCGGCTTCGAAAATGAGTCGATGTGCCTTCCAGAGGATCTCTTTTTATACCCGAGCTCGAAAAGTCCGGCCTATGCTGCGTTTCCTTTCGAGGCTAGTTCGACAGATATCTACGCCGATATAAAGAGATACTCCTCTTGGAGACATCACTCTTTTCCTATTTTCCTGAGAGGGTATCGTTGGAGAAGACTTGGACTCTTTCTTAATCGTGATAGTAGGAAAGGCGTATGCTGATTTGGTATTTTCCGAGGACTAGTTTAGATATTTATATTAGGAATAGAGTCTGCAGATGCTTAAGGCACAGCGAAGGCGGTTCCAAAACTGAAAGTCTCTCGTTCACATCTAGTCTTAGGGTCGACCTCTCAGGTCTCCGTCTCCCGCGCATCCCAACCCCAGCCTACTAGTAATGAACTCTCTTGCTTTGGGTGGGAGTTGGAGATGATCTTCAACCTGGCGAGATCACATCGATTCACTACATGTCTTGTTGGACTCTGTAACATGAGATAGTTACCATGCTAGTGAACGGTCTGCGACTTTTTTTTTCCTTTGAAGGCTCAATTGCTTCATAGGTAGGGAGACTCTCGATTCTCGAGTGAGTTGGCAGTGAAAGAGGCCTTGAAGCTACTGGAATACTGATATATCTTTGCGAATGTTGTCTCCTTTCAGCCTGGAATTGACTGCATCGGGCGAGCTGCCAGAGCTAACCAAGTAGACTCGACTTGCAACGTTTTGAAGGAGCCGGCGGCTGAAGAAGAATCATTCTAAACCAGACCATCCTCGCAACAACAAACCCAGCCGTTCGCACCTTAGAAAATGCCATATATTTTGTCTACTCCTTCCAAGAACAAAGGGCTCGAGGTAACTAACAATTGCTCGGCTACAGCACTATCGAAGCCGGAGATGCCACCACGTCAACGTCGCATGCGAAGTACGATTCATTTCCCCAGCCTAGGCAGGGCCTGGTACAAACACCAGGCAGGAATAGTCCTCCCACTAACAAACCCTTCCTAAGACGATAAATGAAGAAAAAAACTAAAAAGAGATAGAGATGCATAAAGTACAAAACATAAAAAGTCCCTCATCCCAAGCCCACTGACCCGTTGGAGGATTTCCGAACCACCCGTCGTAAAGGGGTTTCTCGGGCCTGCCAAGCGACGGAAGAAACGTGAAGGGAAGGTGGGTTTATGATCCTGCGGCGTGAAGGAATTCACGATGCATGCCGTTGGATCAAGGCCATGTGCGTGCAGGGCGTGAATGGTGGGTCCGAGGAGTGTTGCGCATGGAACCTGGGGGATGGAGGAACGGATCCTTCAGCTGGTTGCCTAGTCGAGGCGGATGGGATGGGAAAGACGGTAAACTGGAGAGTAATCTTGAATGTGAAGGGGAAGTCAATATTAACGATACGCCCTTTCAGCCCTCGATTTGGCAGCTCAGCCACTTTTCCATTAGATTCATCTTTCTGCCTGGGGTTACCGCGCAGACTAACAGCATATGCGATACCATAACGCACGAGATGCCGTTCGCAATGAGGGAACTCTGGGGTTCGAGTACGGACGAGGAGAACGAAGGGTTGTCATGAGGCGCGGGAAGGAAACCGAGTCCAGAATTTCGATTCTTCCGATTTCCATTTCCCAAAGTTCTCTCTCGTGGGGCGTGATGGCTCTACGATCACAATCTGTTGGCCGATGATGCCGCCAGGACACAGCGCTTATAACTACTGACCTTTCGGCCGAATAGGTGCCCGAGATGCTTTCGACCCGTGCAGCAACCCTTGCGTGTGTGTGTGTGTATGTGGGTGGGTGTAGTTCTTCTTGTTGGTGCTATCCTCTACCGTCTCATTACGACAGACCCAGCGTATGTTTCTTGTAAGGATACTCTAACTCATATCGACGACACCAATTGGGCCCTTTCCACCAGGCCCCGGGTGAAGAGCTTCCAGGTGCTCTCATCCAGGATAGTTCCAAACTCGCCGCTGCTCGTCTTACGGCTATCTGCCGCAATATTGTCATGCTCTGAGCCAAAGGGCTGCTTGCCCTCAACAGACCCTTTCTCTGACCAGCCGCCGGTAGCAAGGTGACCGATCTTGACATCCTCATCCCACGGCTTCCTTGAGTTTCCGAAGCAACTTAAGATCGACCGGATCCTGCGCCACCGTCCTGCACTGGAGAGTACGGGCCAACGAAGTTGTGTACTCTCACCTACTTCTCTGGGGTCACCGGGAAGCTATGGCTGATTTGGAGGGCGTGGCGCCTCGGTAGGATTTGGACTTGAATATATTTTTGAAGCCCACGTTTTGGGGATGAAGGTTACAAGGCCAACTGAATCCCGGGGGATCTGGGAGGAGGGTTGATGTTAGTTGTGAGTGACCGGGGAGCGGGAAGCCGGCGCCGAGTGCCAGCGCAGTTAGAGGCACGTCCGGTTGGCCTGGCTTCAACAGTGACTTCTGGGCTGGGGTTGCTTTTCTTTTTTTTTTCTTTTTTTTTTTTTTTTTTTTTTTTTTTTTCTTTCCTTCTTCCATTTTCTTTTGTCTATTCTTTTCTTCTTTAATTGTTCGAGGATAGTTTCTAGAATACGCATCTGACAACGTCTCTCTCCTTTACAGGTATGGGCGCTTGAGGTACTCGCATAGCCACATCGCGTATGTAGATTAGATGTGGATGGGCAGGTTCAAATTGAGGCTGCTGCCTAGCTCGCTCCGCCAAAATCGAGAGAATGCGCGCCTGGAGAAATGATCGCCCCAACAATTCAAGTTTGCCATTCCTTGTCTAAAGTATACGCATACGAGCCCCCATGTATGTACACTTTATAATCTAAAAGTAGAAGCAGACTCTTTTCCTTCAGGTTTCGCAAGAGCTGTTTCACGGAGGGGGTGTCCAGCCCAGTCCAGTCCCAGGAGAGAAAAGAAGGCCCAAATCCGGCCTGGCTGGCCAAGCCAAGCCCAACTAACATGAACGACTTCATCAAAATCCGTTCATGCTGATAGGCATCACCGCCCTGCTCTGACTCATAGCCATCTAATTCCACGCCCCCGTGGAACTCCAATAGGTTCGACATCGGCATCGATCATTTCGATGAGATGGGTCGGACGATATCGGAGAGATGAATGATAAATTATTTTACTTTAGGGTGGAAAGCTGGACAGTTCACGGGATGAGGAGAATTTTCGGAAGACAAAGTCGGGATACATCTTCCTTTCATTTCTTCCTTGTTCCTTTTCTGCTTCAGCCGCTCTACGAAGTACGGCGCACTCAAGAGTGATATTGGCATGGGCGCTGAAACATACGAACCAGAAACGTCCGCCGTCCTCCGAGGATTTTGGGCGTTGGAGCCAGGCCACTTTCTGCGCTCCGGCTTGGCCCCTTGAGGCTTGAGGGGCTTGAGGCCCGACGGGTGATCGCAAAAAGCGTAAAGTGGCCTGGTCGGAAATGAAGGAGTCATAGCCATAGAATCATATTTCGCCATAATGATACCCTTCACACTCATAACCTTAACGTGACTTAGGTTCCGCGTTAGTCCGCCGTGCTATTCGCTGTATTAGCTCTAACTAATCACCATTAGGTATTAGGTACGAAACACTATTTGGGGACTCCGGCATGTCAAAGACTCATTTCGTAGTTGAATGAAAGATTGAGGATTACGAAGTACCAAAGTCTGGGGTAATAGGAAGAAGCCCAGTCGAGTCAGGCCTTCTGGGATTCGAAGGAGTGCAAGTTCGCCGCTTTACTTCTCCCCCGGTCTACACGCGCTGTGTAATGCGCCGTACTACGGAGTACTCGGCATCTGTCCGGCTGGCGCTGAGAGAGCGAGGAGGATCCCATGTTTCCGCCTCCCAACAACTCAAGATTTACTCCGTACTTGTACTTGCTCAGTCGGCGAGGACAGTCGGCGAGGATCGTTGACGGGTTTATCGGCCAGTTTACGAAACATTGAAGCCTTTGGGTCCACTGCTGACCACGGCGTCTCGTCGATATGACGGGTGGAAAGGAGGATGGAGAGTATTCACTC